TCCCCCCGCTTTGGGGGGCGAGCGGGGGTTTCAATGTCTCCTTGTTTTATGTTTTATGGTTATTTTGTTTACATTTTTGATATGTGGGGGGGGTAGATTAAAAAGAAAAAACTTTGTCCGACCTACCGACCCTATGCTGAAATGTCATGTTACCGGAAACACACTACTTTTTTTTTCTACGCCTTAAGAATTTTCTTCATTTCTAAAGTCAAAATAACATATTTTAATATTTACTTGATGTAAGCCACTGCTGATTTACCGCTATATACAAAAGGTATCATCTTGAGATACCTTTCTTCAAATTAAATTAAAATTAACATAACATTTGGTTGTGGTTCTTCGTCATTGCATTAGGCCAAACAAAAAAGATAGTGTTTCCGGTAACAAGAAATTTCAGCATAAGGGTCGGTTGGTCGGACAAAGTTTCGCCACCGCCACCTATTTAGGTTTCTCCCCGCTCCGGACTCGGGGGCCGGGGCGCGCCGCCGCCTCCGCTGCCCTCCTCCGCCCTCCTCTGCCCTCGGTTTTTACTCGGCCCGTGGTGTTCATCAAATAGTTCGCTTTATTTTTTTCGATACATCAATGGATGCTATTTTCTTAACGTTATGGTGCGAGCACGCGACTGTAACACAGAAAACGCGGTTTAAACTGTCGTCGGAGTGTTGTTGACAGACGACAGGGCAAACGACGCACGCGCTCAACGTGAATATCGCAAGAGTTTGCACCAATGTAAACCCTCTACACAAAAATGTAGAGGGTTGTTTGAAAAAAATGCCGACCGTAAAGTTTTTTTTTCGACGTAGAAATTCTCGGTCGGTCGGGTTACCGGAAACACACTACATTTTTTCTACGCCTTACAGAGGTATTAGATAGGGACTCGATATGGACAGATACTCAAAATCAAGTGACTTGGGACATCCTTGGTATTTATATATGCAGGTACCAAAGATTCTGATTGGCAAAATATCCGCTAATGTATTACCTGTATTAGATTTAATTATCAGTAGCCCACGGTTGTCAAGAGTGTGTTGCCTAGCGACAAGTGACTTTGCGTTTCCCTTCCCCAAGCATCCTTGACTGCTTTCATTCATCCCGGCAGCCTGATAACGCATTGAATAGCGCCAAACTCGCTTATTCTTGGGTACTTCAAGGCCGCGCAGATGTGTGTGTATGCAGTGCAGCGTAGGCGGTCTCTCTATGTGGGGAAAAAGGCGGTGCCTCTCAATAAGGCGTTATTGTTGATGTGAAGTTGTCCTCTGATGCCACCTTTCCACCCTGAGGACAACAGCTATTTTTGTGATTTGTCACATCCTCATCGGCCGCCGCATTTGACCACTGTGCTTATGCAGTCCGATACCAGAAGTCGGCTCTTTGAGTTCTTGGCGCACGGTTTGGTGAGTGACAGTTGTTGTGTATGATCGTACTTACCTGACTGTTTGAGGCGGACGCATTACTGGGAGCTGCTCTGTACCCATCACAGCAGTTCTAGACATTTGTAAAACTACAGGCTCCATAAGATTTTTTTTGAAGCTTTTCCAGTTCAATAGCTCATAAATCCCTACCCTGATATCATGTTTTATGACTTGTAGAAATATTGCCAAGTGAAGATGTAATCACACTGCATCATTGCGGGCGATGTGCCAGGATTTGAAGTTCCCGATACAGCAGCCATTGCTGTTTATTTTCTCCTTACTTAATTTTTTTTTTCCCGCACAATGCAGAGACCTGGCATGCCTCCATCCAGTCGTATGACCCCACAGGGACCCGCCATGGGCCCCCCGGGCTATGGCGGCAGCCCCGTGTCTCGCCCAGGGATGCCTGGCGTGATGGACCCGTCTCGTAAGAGGCCCGCCCCGCAGCAGATCCAGCAGGTTCAGCAGCAGAGTCGCAACCAGCAGTAAGAGGCGATCAATACCTTTAGAGCCAGATGCTTGGTTGAATTAAAAGTGTGGCGTTTAATGGTGGGATTAGATGATGTCTGAATCAACTTCAGGCAGCGCTGATCAATACTGTTGCACAAATTACACTGCTTAACTTGGGCAACGCCGCATTTAAAGTAAAATCAACTGTTGATGCTGAGTGTTAATGGGATGACATTTTTCTTGGTTTCGCAAGGTGAACTAAGAGCTAATGATACAGCACAGCTTCCTTATGTGTTTACCTGCATGTGTTTTTTACAGTACAAAGAAGAAGAAGATGGCCGATAAAATTCTACCTCAGAGGGTGAGTCGTAGCATGAAGTAACACTGATGAAGAAAATAAATGGGCATGCATGTTTCCGACACTTATAAGTGTGTGGCTTACTCAAGATGAGCGACACGCCACACACAATTAGCCCAAACCAGACTGATGACATAGCACCCAGGTAGCATGATACCACAGTCCATCCAGACTGGCGGAAAATACATAGAGGAGTAGAAGAAGTAGTAGTGGAAGTGAGAATGACTGATAGATTTGATGTTTGCAGTTGCAAACTTCTCCTTGACGTTTTTATTTTACACCACAGGATAATCGCAGTTGAAGTAAAATCTCTCCCGTGATTTATTGTTCCTGCAGACACACACACACACCACTCAGCATAGAAATAAATTGGCCTGATGGTGACGAAACAGAAGGAAAGAGTCCATAAAAGAGGGAATCATGCCTAAAATTTGGGATCATGTCACACTTCAGATAATTCACTTGCAATGCAGTGCAATGCTTGTACTGCAAAGCAGAACTGCCTTACATGACGACCCATCTACAATCCGACACAAGGTCATGTAAACATTGCTAGTTAGAACATATTGTAATGCTGTGTGAAGCACGTTTATACAGCCACAACTGATACCCAAATATTTAACACGCAGACTGGCTAACTGTTAGTCAGTTAGCAGCCAGCAGCACACAAGAGTCACTCACCTGTTTAAGCCACACACAATTAAAGTCACAGTGCAGAGAGTGAGCATGTTGACCCAAAGTAGACAAAGTGGAAATAGTACCTGCGCCTCAATTGGCTATTTTGTATTGGTTTTTAAAAATACAAAATTAATTTCAATGGAATAATGAAATTTTGGGTACATGCAGCCCTACATTTGGAAATCTGACATTAGCAGTACTGTATTTGTCCAGACGTGGTGGAAAATGCTCAAATTTTGCCCGGTTATCAGGATGTTTGAGCACTTTGATTCATAATCACCCCACACCACATGATAATCCTCGGAAAAACGGGCCTGTGCTAACTTTGATGAAAGGGGAATGGTGTTGCAAAATCCGTCCAGTTTTGCAATACCGGCACTCACCTTGTCCCCCCACCTTGTCTCAGATCAGGGAACTGGTCCCGGAGTCTCAGGCTTACATGGATCTACTCGCCTTTGAAAGGAAGCTGGACCAGACCATCATGCGCAAGAGGCTGGACATCCAGGAGGCACTCAAGAGACCCATTAAGGTTTGATTTTAGCTTCGGGAACAAATGTAACCAATGTTTGTTGAGTCAAACAAAACGTTTCTCATGTAACACTCATGTTTAAAATTAACGTTTCATTGAAGTTCCTTCTCACTGTTTTTTTTTTTTTTCCCTAGCAAAAAAGAAAGCTTCGTATTTTCATATCAAATACCTTCAATCCAGCCAAGCCCGACGCTGAGGATGGTGAGGGCACTGTTGCATCATGGGAGCTCCGTGTGGAGGGGCGTCTACTTGAAGATGTAAGAGTCTTGTTACAGTGGGCGCAGTGTTCATTAAGCTCTACAGTTTAGTTCAGTGTGTTGTTTTTCAGTTTTGTAAAGGGTCAATACATTCTTGTGCTGCGCTCATCGTTTTTCCCACCCTTTCAGTAGTATGGCACATTTACTTTGCAGACAGCCGTGTCCAAGTACGAAGCCACCAAGCAGAAGAGAAAGTTCTCTTCCTTCTTCAAGTCTCTGGTGATTGAGTTGGACAAGGATCTTTACGGTCCCGATAATCACCTTGTGGAAGTAAGAACATGTCTTTGTATATCCATGCTTTAAATAAGTGGTTTCACATTGCAGCTTGCCAGTCAAAATTCACATTTTGCGTCTCAAACGCTAAGCTGCCATTGTGTGGTTTTTATGGCAAAATGCAGAGCTGCCAAATATTACAGAAGTCACTGAACGGGAACTCGGAACAATGCATCGTGGTTGTTCTAAGTATTTAAAAAATAATAATCAGAGTGGCCAGTGTAAGAGAGGGTCTTAGTTTTCCCTCCGTACAGGACTCGGGAGGCGGTGAGCACAGCAACCCCGCTTGGTCCCACTTAACCAGTCAGGGAAGAGCATCCCGCTCATATGTGAGCCTGACTTTGCGACAAACTGAAGCATATTACCGCAATGTACTTGTGAAGTGCCGATGGTCAATGTGCTGTGCTATTCACATTAGTTCTTGTAGCTACTCTGACTTCATCTAGAATGCCTTCTTCATCTAGAACAGGGGTGCCCAACTAGTCGCTCGCCCAAGTCGATCGCAAGGAGTGTAGGTGGAAATGGATATGAAAAAAAAAAAAAGATTGGTGTGCCTGTGTGTGCGCGTTATTATATATTTTTGTGTTTGATGTACACTGCAAGAATAAATAAGCAGTTCACCTTTAACCTACAGTGGCGCGTGCCTTGTATCACCGGAAGTTGTTAGCGGTCAGCAATTGCAACTTGTGATCAGAGATGTTACGACATATCTTTTTTTAAAATTGCTATTCTTATTCAAAGTTTGTTTCATCTGCAATTCACCAATGGCAAATAATGGGAATACTTAGTCCCAGGAGAAGCATTTTAAAACGGTACACGTACATACGATGATAGCTTCTGTACTTAAGATGCTCCAAAATCGGGTCCCGTGCCTCCGCATCAGGTCTCTACTAAGGTAGGCAATGATTTCCTTTTCACCAACTCACAAACTCATGTATCTACTGTATTTTTCTGTTTCGTTCATGTTTGGGGCCGTTATGGCTGTTGCTCATCATGGCATGTGTATGCGCATGGGCACGTGTGTGTATGCGTACATGCGCTGTAACAGATCAATCGTGGGAGGTTGGTTGGCCGGTCCTTTGGGCATCCGTGATCGAGAAGCACGAGCCGCTAATCACACTTTGAGTCTGTCAGCCGGCTTGCAACGTCACTGGCTCAGCACAGGACCATACCTCGTGATTTGGGTCCCAAGGTATATCCCATGGAATGTTGCTCACCAACTAAAGAGTGCCAATTCGAGAAAATGTCCTATTTCCTGAGCTAAACAAGGCACCTTTGTTTTAGTTGAAACAGTGCCAAAACATATGCTAGTATTCACATTTTTTGTCTTAATCCTAGTGACCTGGTCTCTGATCATAAATCCACAGCCATGAACCTACTGCGTTATGTTGCATGCTAAAATACCAGCTGCCCAAGTGAAGTTGTTCAATGCCTGTCAAAGCTTTTTTTGTATTAAACGCCTTATGATTTTGATAGAAGAAATGGTAAGTTAAATTAAATTGTTATTTTTGTTACAAATTACCACAATGAAAATGTTTCTAGAGAGAGAAATAGTTTGCTGTGATGCACTATTGATTTAATAAAAAAGGGAACCAATTGGTTGTTATGAAGTGAAATCTATTAAGTAGAATATTCTATAGGATTGTGCGTGCACATATTTATGAAAAGACATTCTGTAACCCAGGGGTGCCCAACCTTCTTTGACCGAAGATCGACTTTTGAAGCGACCAACCTCCCGCAATCGAGGATACGCGCACACACACGGGTGCGCAACCATGCACAAGCTTGCATATATATGCACGCATGCACACCACGATGAGCAACAGCCATAACAGCACCAAAAACTAACGAAATCGAAACCACACAAATCCCCCGCCCACCCCTCGCGATCGACTGGGAGCCAAATTTTGTTATGGTCTGGCCATAATTCAAAAAGTTTTTTTACAGTATACAGTGTTCCCTTGCTACTTTGCAGTTCTCTTATTGCGTATTCACTTTATTGCAGATTTTCATTTGTGACCGTAACTTTATCTCGTGCAGTTCTTCTTGGTTATTTTGTGCGTTTTCTTGTTACTTTTCTTCCAAGTAGGACCAGCCAAGAAATAAACATGAGGGTCGCATTCAGTAATTTACTCTAGCGCCGTCGCACTACTTTGAGAGTGTGTGTGTTCGGAGTGGTGGAGCGCGCTCCTCTCTTATTAGTTTCCAAACGCAGCCCAGTTTCTCACGCAATCAGTATCTCGTACTTGAAGTGTCTTCATCTGGACTGCCTGATGCTCTGAAGCACTGTGTCCCCATTTGGAGCGGATGTACATCGACACTGAATAATCGAACAGTATTTTTGAAGAACTCAGAACATTATTCGAATATGCCGATCAATTTGTCAGTCGATTCGGATAAGCTGAATAGCAAACAGCTGCGTTCATAAATTGTGCAGAGACGTGTTCGGTCACCGACTGTAGGACGACGACGATAGTTTGTTTTAAGATAGCTTAAGTAGAATTGCGGGTCGCACGGAAGCTATCGCGCAGAAAATGAGGTAACGCTGTGAGTATGCTAACACATCTCAATTTATTTTTACTTCCTATTTCACAGATAAAAAATGTAATTGAATTGCGGGTACAGGCCACAGTAATTTTGGAAAAAGTTTTGAAATAGGTCGTGTTTCCATTACAAAAACTTGCCATTTGAAAAGGGTTGTGCAGACTTTTTATATCCGCTGTGTATATAGCCATGGGGAGCATCCGTTAAGCAGTTTTACTGCCTTTAGAAATAACCATTGTAGAAAGGTTTTCCCTTTTATAAAGGTCGTCTTTGCACCATTTTAGTGGCACAGGACTGCAACCACCCAGGAGACTGATGGCTTTCAAGTAAAGAGACCCGGCGACGTGGGTGTCCGTTGCACTGTCCTGCTCATGCTGGACTACCAGGTACCAAAAAGCTCACACTTGCATTAACCTCAAACTAGATCTGATCCATTCTAACTGCGGAACCTCCCACCAAAAAACACAGCCGCCGCAGTTCAAGCTGGACCCTCGCTTGGCTCGCATGCTGGGCATCCACACCCAGACGCGACCTGTCATCATCCAGGCCCTGTGGCAGTACGTCAAGACTCACAAACTGCAGGACCCCCATGAGCGAGAGTTCATCAACTGCGACAAATACCTGCAGCAGGTGGTCACCATTCCATCCTTTTCTGTCTTCAGTGAGGGTACTCGTCACTCGCTCTGATTTTTAAAATATGAGAAATAAGGAAAAAATGCATTGTCAATTATTGTGTGCTGCGTACTTGACATGACCACCTCGGAAAATCGCACCATTTCTAGTAGTAAGTTTCCTCCCACAAACCAGATGTCTGTTGAAGACTGGCCTGTGAGAGGCAACATGGTGCCACAGAGGGCATCCAGAGTGACAGAACAGAGAGAAAAGGAAATAGGAAAAGCTAGGCTAACTTTGTTTGTTTGTTTTTGTCTTGAATTTGATTTTGTAATTATTTTTAAGGGATACAAACTAATCCAAAGATACACAGATATTAGAGAAAAATATTTGCGCGTTTTAGAATACACGACCGGAAACAGCGCAATACAGCCAATGGAGAAACCTTGTCGCGGGAAGCTAACTTTGGGTAGATTTTGCTGATTAATTCATATTCCACAAACGTAATATTAATCAGAATACTGTGTTTGGACTCAAGGGGCCGCAGAGAAGATATTGCAAAGAACGTTTTTGTTTTAATTGACTTAACCTTTAACCCATGATAAGGTCTCGGATCAAGACTCTGTCTTGGCAGCTGCTCAAATTAAGGTGACTCGTACTTGGGTGAGAAAAACATGTAATCAGGACATGTATAATCTTAGATACTGGGTTGAAGAGGTTAAACATTTACGATCATCTGTCCTAAAAAAATTTTCAGCACATTGGAGTGTTGGGGGGGATACACAGCACATACCCTGCACCAGAGGGTAATTATTTCGGATTTGCTGACTTTGATTGGAAGTGGGGGACTCAAAATCTGTACAAACTTGACTTTCCTCCTTCCCCGATGCTTACAATCTGCTCCAAAAGGGCTGACATTTACGATAGTCATAACATTTGATGTTGTACAGCACACTTGTTTGCTTTCTTGTGTCCTTGTATGGATGTGAGTCCCAACACAGGGTGAACTCCTCAGACTAAACATGACTGCTGCTTCAATGTTATCTCAGTGAAAAAAAGAAATGCACCAGCGTGTCTGATTTGTATTATCCCTGGTAAAAAAAGAAATGGGTTTTGAGGTTCTACATCACCTTCTGTCATCGCCTCCTTGCGCTCGTAAATAACAAGCTTTCCAAACATGCTGGAAATTGTCAAGTGCTTTAATTTACGTGACGCACTTTGGCGTTTGGCAATGTGCTTTACAACTCATGCAATTCCAACTGTTTTAACGACTGCGGGCAGTAGTTGACTTCTTTCATGGAGAAATAAAACTAGTGGGGTATGAAAAAAAAGTCGCTGCTGTAGCTCAATTTGAGCTGATTCCCTGTGCTTGTCAACGCTTTTTAAAAATAGGTTAACAGAATTTATTGAAAAATCGTGGGGGTTTTGTCACAGGTTTTGGGGAAGCGCTAAATAAAGTAAAATTCGGATTTGAATGCCATATGAATTTCTTTGGATAAGCATTTCATTAGAGCCCAAAAAGCTCACTTAGTAGAAGCCTTTAACATTGTATGTGCGATGGTCATTATAGTTGCTACTCGTAGGCCACCACTTGAGGAGAGAGAGTAATTTGCCATGCTTTGAGGCACCTTCATATGATTTTTCCCTGAATGTCCATGAATTGCTTTTCCTTCAATCTGTAGATCTTTGAGACCCAGAGGATGAAGTTCTCCGAGATCCCACAGCGCTTGCATGCGCTACTGATGCCTCCCGAGCCCATCATCATCAACCATGTGATCAGGTCGTGCCGCATCAGCCCCATTGCAGCTCAGGAATCTCATCAGGCAAATTGTTTGTACTGAATGTTTGTACTGAATGTGCTCTCTGCGTTGCATTAGCGTGGACCCCAACGACCAAAAGAAGACGGCATGCTACGACATTGACGTGGAGGTAGACGACACGCTGAAGACTCAGATGAACTCCTTCCTGCTGTCCACCGCCAGTCAGCAGGAAATAGCAGGCTTGGATAACAAGGTAATAAATCTACCAATGGTTTTGTAGCTGTGCCTCAAATTAGAGATGAAACAGTGTGAACATTTCATAACGAGGCTATTGATATCATGGTTTTGCGAAAAGAAACATAGACAGAAAAATCTGATGCATAACATTGCTGCATGGTAGCGGTGGTATTCGATTGAAACAATCTTATGAGTTATCAATTCTATTGTGAATCAGAAATGTTTGACAAAATAAACAATGTTTTCCAATTCAGTTTGATTTTGGCCAACAAACCAACAGACAAATCAACCAAATTCTATGAAAAACTTACTTTGTGTCACCCTGCGACATGCATGCAGATTTTCAAGTCCAAGTACATATTTTATAAATATTTTACTAAGACAGCTCGAAAAGGCTCCCGCACGCCTGCGATCTCAGTGAGGAGGAGCGGTTCGGATAATCAGTCAGTCAGTCAATCAATCAATTCATAAAAATTGTATTTATATAGCACTTTATGTAATTCATACAGAAAGATGCTGTACAGGGACCCCCCCCCCCTCCCCTCAACATGCACAAATATGCATTCCCACAAGCATGCCTGGACTCGCACACAAACATACAAAAGTTTCAAACATACCATCATGACCCTGATATTAAAAAAGACATGGCAGGGCACAGAGAAACCATATGAAGAAAAAGCACCCAAGGGGAGCTGATCCATGCTGAGTGACAGCAACCATACCTCCCAGTGTGGAGGCCCCCCAAGAGGAAACGCTGGCTCCAATTTTTTTTTTTTTTTTTTAAAGGAAATCAGTCTTAAATTCAAATAATAGATGTATGGATGGAAGATTTCTAGCACATTTGACTTGAGATGACAAAATTCTGCCTCCATCTCCTAAATGCAAGCCTTTTTTTTTTTTGGTCAACTCAAGCATTTTATCCAGGCAGCAAATATTCCCGTTCGATGCTCCAAGCCCCAAAAGAGAACACAGGCTGCTCTGTCTGCTACTTGAGTCAGAGATAGCTGCACTTGGGGGATAATTCCACACTAACCTTATTGGTGCAAGAAACTGTTGCAATTTTCTCCATGAACGCACATTTTGTGTGTGAAACGAGTGTTAGACGTGCGCGTAGTTAGCCTCGCACCTGTTGCTCAACCCTAAAGAGAGCACACACAGTAGGTGAGGTACATAATGCAAAATTTGTTTTGAACGCTAATTAAAATTAAAGTGGTAAAGCTAATAACCATTTTGAAATGTACCACAGTTTATCGGCAACCGGTTTCATCGCTAACTCTACTGCAGCTCTTGCACTCTGTGTACCTAATGAAGTGTACAGTGGGTTCATTACAAAAATGGTGACGATAACGCAGCGCGTCGGGTGCAATGTAGACTACGCCGCCGGTTTAAATGTGGCATGAAGGTGCAGCTCCATTAAACAAACACTTGTGACAGATACAGATGTGCCCAGCACACCGAGGCCAATTTCACACAAATGTGCTTTCGATGCAAGTCAAGTCAGGTCTGCCTTGCCTCCCGCCAGCAGTCGTAAATGGATTGGAGTGGTTTTTTGAGGTTAGCGACTGCTACTGGTCGGTGCATTTTTTTTCCCGTCTCCCTGACAGTGCTGTAGAGTTGAACACAAAGCAATGTATTGATAGGGCTTCACATATTGTCGCCTCACCTGTCAGACAGCTGGCTCTTTTTGCTGCCTTACTGAATCAAGCGCATGATTAAGTATCCAATGAATCACAAGCCAATCCAAATCTGTTCAGATCCACGAAACCATCGAGACCATCAACCACCTGAAGACCCAGAGAGAGTTCATGCTCAGCTTCGCCCGAGATCCTCAGGGCTTCATCAATGACTGGCTGCAGTCGCAGTGCAGGGACCTCAAGGTGAGTGTACAAATGGATCACAAGAGGAGCTGTCCGGAAAGCTTTAAGAGTCAAAAACAGAAGTTATTTTATTCATTATGAATTTTTAGAATTCAATGGCAACCAGTCCAGGGTGTATCCCTGCTTCTCGCGCTCAGTCTGCCGAGATCAACTCCGACTCACTAAAAATGAGGCACACGCATCTACGAGAACAAAAGTGCCTTAACGGAGGCTCTCGTTTATCCGCAGACCATGACAGACGTGGTGAGCAACCCTGAGGAAGAGAGGCGGGCCGAGTTCTATTACCAGCCATGGGCTCAGGAGGCCGTGTGCCGTTACTTCTACTCCAAGGTAAGTCCCGGCATCTTCTCTACCCATAATGCTACAGACGAAAACATATTTTGTTTCTCCTCCAGGTGCAGCAGAGGCGACAGGAACTGGAGCAGGCGCTTGGAATCAGGAACACCTGAAGTAATTGATTGGAGAATGTTGACTTTGTTTATGCTCCCACTTTTTTTCTTCTTGTTGAGCACAAATTTTCAATTTAACTTCCTCCCCACCCCCAAGTCTTTACCGCCTAACATTCCTGCCCTCATGACACAAAATGCCAACGTGAACGCATGCGCGCGCACACACACACACACACACACACACACACACAAAAGCTTAATAAACATTTTTTTTTAAAACTACTCGGCCCATTGGCTTCTACATTCTAAAAACAAACCAAGACGTCCTATACCTAATCGCTCTTTTTTTTTTGTCCAGCTGCCATGTTGTTTTCTTTCTTTTTTTTTATAATTAATCCTTGTTTATGAACTTTCTGTAATATCAGTACGTACTTGTCTTGTTAGCTAGTACAAATGATGACCAAGGAAGTAGCTAGTTAGCTGTACCTCTAGCCCAAATAGGTTTTTACTTACTGAGCAGAAGAAAGACAGATGTGAAGTCAAGTTGTACCTCTTTACCCTTTCAATGTTTTTTTCCTTCTTTGCTTATGCTCAGTTAGTAGATTCTGTATTTATAATAAGAATAAGAACAGTCAGTGGTGGTTATAAAAGTGCAGCGAAGCCACAAATATGTTGCAAAGTTGATTGAGGTGATAAAATTATCCCTTTGGTTATGTGTGGCATGGACACTGAATTATTTGAAGCTTTTTGATGGACCAAAACTATTTTTCTGTATGTTCTTATGTCATAATAAAGCATATGTAAATCTTAGTGTCATTTCTTGACATCCATTTTGTAACTGGGAATAGCTGCACCACATACCTTTAATGGAATGCTTTCTTCACATGGGCAAAAAAAAAAAAAGGATTTTGGGGGAGTACCTTTCAGCTGTGGAAATCAGTTGTGAAATCATTTGAAATCAACAATATGCAACAGCACGTCAGAGCAATTTAAAATTAATTTTGATTGGAGATTTTTGCTATACAGTACTCTGGCCAAATAAAAAGATGAAGCGATTTTTAAAATGTATTTAGAATTGAAATCATGTTTTGACTCTTCCTGTTCACCATAATTTGTCTATAAAATTCATTATATAGATTAACTTTATTCTTGCCCATAATAATGAATGTCTAAAAAAGATATCCGTTGTAATTTCTATTTTGTTTTCTTTGTCTTGGTAATATAATTTCTCTAAAAAGGCTTTTTATGGATGAACATTTTTTTCTCTTATTTTACTTCTGTCCAAAATTATTAGTGTGCGTGCGTGCGTGCGTGCGTGCGTGCGTGCGTGCGTGCGTGTGTGTGTGTGTGTGTGTGTGTGTATATATATATATATATATATATATATGCCTGTAGTTGAGTGGTATTCATCATTTGGGATGTGGCCAAAGGATGTCGACTTCTACATCTTTCTGTGACTCTTCCAGTCTCTCTATTTCTGTTGCAACCTGCTGATGATGCTCTGCGACACGCTAATCTCAGTGGCCACTTCAGTCAGAGAACGTCCTGTTTGAACCATCACAATGGCAATGTGCTGTTGAGCCATTGTTCGGTGCCATCTGGGTCTCATGCTGTCAAAATGTGATCAGCATGATGAGAACGACTGTTTAAACACCAACTCTAATTGAACCAAGACAATTATTGGTCAATTCCAAGGTTGTTGCCTGTTGTGAATTTTGACGTTAAGCTCCTCGTTAGAGGACAGCAACCTGTGCAAAAAGTACTGAAACATTTAACAGTTGGACATGTGGACTCAGGTTCGGTGGTCCAGTGGTTAGCGCGTCGACCTCACAGTGCAGAGGTCGTGGGTTCTATCACGGCTCCGGCCTTTGTGGACTTTGCATGTTCTCCCCAGGCCTGCGTAGGTTTTCTCCGGGTACTCCGGCTGATTGAACACTCCAAATTGTCCCTAGGTGGGAGTGTGAGCGCGAATGGTTGTTTGTTTCTGTGTGCCCTGCAATTGGCCGCCTACTGCCCGAAGACATATATACTGTATATATGGATGGATGGAGGGATGGATGATAGATAGATAGATAGATAGATAGTTGTTCGTCTCTGAGTGCCCTCCGATTGGCTGGCACCCGGTTCAGGTTGTAGCCCCACCTACGGCTGGGATAGGCTCCAGCACCCCCGTGACCCTTGTGAGGATAAAGCGGGATTGGAAAATGGATGGATGGACATGTGGATTCAAAAGATCATGGGAGGACAAGCCCCTACACGGGATGTACCACCGGACCATAACTGAAGTGGCTGATCTCAAGAAGTCCTATCAGTGGCTAGAGAGGGCTGGCCTGAAGGACAGCACAGAGGCACTCATCCTGGCTGCTCAGGAGCAGGCCCTGAGCACCAGAGCCATTGAGGCCCAGATATACCACACCAGACAAGACCCAAGGTGTAGGTTGTGCAAAGAGGCACCTGAGACGATCCAACACATAACTGCAGGGTGTAAGATGCTGGCAGGGAAAGCCTACATGGAACGCCATAACCAGGTGGCTGGCATAGTCTACCAAAACATCTGTGCGGAGTATGGACTGGAAACCCCAAGGTCAAAATGGGAAACACCTCCGAAGGTGGTGGAGAATGACAGAGCGAAGATCCTGTGGGAATTCCAGATCCAGACTGACAAGATGGTAATGGCGAACCAACCAGATATCGTGATCATAGATAAAGGGCAGAGGAAAGCCGTTGTAGTGGATGTAGCGGTCCCAAGTGATGGGAACATCAGAAAGAAGGAACACGAGAAACTCGAGAAATACCAAGGGCTCAGAGAGGAGCTGGAGAGAGCCTGGAAGGTAAAGGTGACAGTCGTGCCTGTGGTGGTCGGAGCACTTGGGGCAGTGACCCCCAAACTAGATGAGTGGTTGCAACAGATCCCGGGAACAACATCGGACATCTCAGTCCAGAAATGTGCAGTGCTGGGAACAGCAAGGATACTGCGCAGAACCCTCAAGCTTCCTGGCCTCTGGTAGAGGACCCGAGCTGAATGAGGGATGGACACCACCCGAGGGGTGAGACGAGGATTTTTTTTTTTTTTTTTATATGTATATATGTGTGTCATCCAAGATTCCATGGAAAGAAGGCTATTTGTATATTTTTGTTAAAATGCAGCTTTTAAGTGTATACGTTTAAGAATTCTTATTTTACTATTTCTGACTTCTGGGTTGTATGATAAATACAAATGTGGGTTTTTTTTCCACATGTTGACTATATGTCACAAAAATGAAGTTTATTTTAAAACCGTGATTTACATTTTAGTCCCCTTCATTTTGTCAATATATTCCTGTTCAAATATAATTATATCAACTTTCCTTGATATTATTGGTTATGTGTGAAAAATTGGGCGTGTCAGGGTAGTCTAAAATGTTGATGCGTTTTTGTACCGTGTTAGTTTTAACCTTTAATATGTTTTCAAAAACAAAATCCCTGGTTAAGGTAAATACGGGGGTGGGGGGGGGTCATCATCAGCACTCAAAGGGAGGCCGACGCCATAAATCATAAATGTATGATATCCCAGTAAATAAACTCCGCACTACCGTGCAGTGATAGGTGACGTCAACACAGCGAAGGAGGGAGCGGTGAGTATGGGGGTGGGGGGGGGGGGGGGCATGCCCGCTATAAATACCGGCGTCGCGCTTCAGTTATTTCTTGTGGAAGTTCCAACGATGGCAGCTCCAAAGAAAGTGTGCGTGGTGGGCTCCGGAAACTGGTAACTTAGTCAACAATTTCTATCATGAAGTTTGCTTCTGTGCTATTGGAGGTTTTGTGGAAAGCTAAAGTTGTGAAAATCATAAGGATTTCCCCGCTCCCACCTCCCACCCCCCACGTAATAGTTAATGCATGCTCGTTTGGTTTACATGAGTAGGGATGTTTTGTGTCTGGCTAATTAGAAATAAAAAGAAATCAACCTTGTCTGATGGGGTATTTTTGTGATGTAAAGCTTCTTTGGGCCTTTTGACATTTGAAGTGCAGTGGTGTGCTCGCAGCCGCATGTCTTAAGTTACAAAGGCATTTTTTTGACAAGCAGCATGTTGTAATGCCCTTTTGTCACCTGGCAAGCTTGGTGATGTGGGTGGGGTGGGAGGAGGCTTTAAAAAACAAAGTCGTGAATTTAGAAATATAGTACTGTACTTTTAAATATAGTACTTTACTTAATCATGCTCATAGAGCAGGTTTTCTTCAAATGAGTTGAACATACTACTAGAGCTATGGAGTTAAAAAATACCTATGCATATAGATTTTTGGTATTTCTTATTTGTAGCTAGATTTACTCATAAACACTCATAGACTCTCCATACTTTAGAATGGCACGTTGGGATTTTTAATGGGGGGAAAAAAAAAATCATGTGAAATGCTCTTAGCCAAAAAACACCTGGTGAGAGAAGCAAGGTCTTGGCAGACCAACAAGACCAGCATATTTTGAGATGTTTTGTCTATGCTTCGATTTGAGTTTTTGCAGCGCAACACACGCGCAGGGCTCTCAAATTGGTGCATGTGAGGTTTTTTTTTTTTCACTGATAGGATAAGTGTGACAAAGCTCAGGTCTTCAATAACACTGGAAATATGTCTGCACCTTTCTTGTGTAAACATACATGCCACCACCATAATAACAAAGGCCCCACCCAAAACACGGAGCGACCTTTCCACTCACGTTTTGACATGCCGACACTGGATGACTTTGTAATGCAGTGCTGTATAGTATTTAAAGGAGATCTATGATTTTCACACATTAAAATTAAAAATTGAAACTCTTAGTAAAAGACTTAACGTTCACTTTGTTTCAAATCATTCACTTTTTTGGAGGTCATTCTGTCTCCTGCATTACCAGAGTTGAACTTGCATTACCATGACGACGGTGGGCAGAACTAGGGCGTTGCGACAATGCAAGCAGGTACTTTAGTGTCACCAATATACTGACTTTCTTTATGTTTAGCAACTTTCCCTACACCCTCCCCCCCAAAAAATCAACACGCAAAGTAGCAACGTGTCCAGTGACTTTTTGTGGTGTTGTTGCAGAATTCAGGAGATTGTGAGATCAGAATTGTGTGTCTGCAGGGGCTCGGCCATAGCCAAGATCGTGGGCGCCAACGCGGCCGCCAACGCCAAGTTTGACAGCGTGGTCAACATGTGGGTGTTTGAGGAAATGGTGGACGGACGCAAGCTCACTGAAATAATCAACACAGAGCACGAGAATGTCAAGTACTTGCGCGGACACAAGCTTCCCCCCAATGTGGTAAACATACCTTCACAAACACGCCTTCATAAACAAAAGAGGAAATCATTATTGTCACTGAAAACTTGCCTTCTTTCAGATGTTTTGCTCTCTCCGAATGGCCAAAGATGGTGCCAAAGCCATGGCTGATAAGAAAGTAGTAATTGATGTCAAGGAACTACATTGAAGTGATAGATGTTCAATGAGAGACAAGCTTTGCATGGAAGGGAGGAGCTGAGTTAAGCCTCGGTTATTATGTCAAATTACGAAGAATCAAATCATCTGCAATTTTTTTAAGGTGTATTGTTCCAAGATGGATTCAAAATTATATTCAAGTGTTTTGGCATTGTATATGTAAAAAGGTGTCTCCCAGACGAAGCTCAGCTGAGACTAAGAATTGGAAGAGTCAACGATTTCGACAATCATCCGCAATGGCAACAACATCATGGCAGAGTTCGAGGCCAACAGATTGAAAGATGATCGTAAACGACTTCAGGGTGCAGCACATCCTGAACTGGAGAAGGCAATTTTCATTTGCTGACTGAATGTTTTCTTCATACTATATAGACATATTTGTAATTGTTCATGTTTTTACATCTAGAAATGTTCACACTGTATTATAGATAGTAGCCGGTGGCCATTTTATTAAAAATGATTTGAACAAACTACCGTTATAATGTACAGATTCGTCATAACCCTCGAGGTAAATTGTAAGGAGGTTCGCACGCACACACACACACGTACACAGGCACCAGTATATGATGGTAGAACCACAGGATGGGTTCACATGTTGTCATTGTGGGCAGGTGGCCATTCCGGACCTATTGGACTCGGTAAAGGGAGCCGACATCCTGATGTTTGTGGTCCCGCACCAGTTCATCATCCGTGTATGTGACACTATCAAGGACCACATCAAGAAGGACGCTCACGGTGTGTCGCTCATTAAGGTACCCTCACCTGTTTGCAACCCGTCTTCTACAATGATGTCTTGCTGACTGTGCATGCATCTAGGGTGTGGATGCTGGTCCGGAGGGTCTTAAACTGATCTCCGAGGTAATCCGAGGGAAGCTGGGCATCAGCATGTCAGTCCTGATGGGAGCAAACATCGCCAGTGAGGTGGCGGAGGACAAGTTTTGTGAGACAACCATAGGTACGGCATCAAATTTTGACTCCTGATTCCAGTGTTGCGAAGTACAAATTCTTTTTCACTGGACTTGAGTACGTTTTTCAGGTATTTGTACTGATACATTTATTTTTCCTCTTGTTTTGCTTTTTACTCCCTACATTTGAACAGTTTTTACGATCTACTCAATACTTTGTTGAAAATGACAACACAGTCTGAATTAGAATTCCTAGCTGGTAATTTTTTTTTTTTCAGATTTCTAACAAAACAATTTTTACCAGGGAAAAAAAAGTTCAGTGTTGAAAATTCAACATCTAAAATCCTGTTTAAAACCGAGATGCCACACACATATCTGCGTTAGAAATTCTTTTTACTCAATGATATTTCTTTCCATTTAGGTAAAGAATGCGAGTACTTTTGCTACCTCGACATAATTCCTCATATTTCAGGTTGAACTTAAGCGTTTTTTTGGGGGCACGTAGGGTGCAAGGACACAATACACGGGCCCATCTTGAAAGAGCTGATGCAGACTGACAACTTCCGTGTAACCGTGGTCCAGGAGTCCGACGTTGTGGAGATCTGCGGGGCGCTCAAGGTTTGTCCAAACAGTTACTGATCCTCTTGAGTTTGAAGTTTGAGAATTGAACTGATGTTGTGCAGCTAAATGATGATAACAAAAACAAACAGGCTTTTATGATCATGAAAATGCTAAAAGAATCACAACATATAATATGCCCCTCATGGGCCACACATTGCCCACCCTGGTGCAGCTCCTCTTTAAACCAAGACCATGAAGTGGATGAGCGTAGGCTGCGTTGACAGCATCAACTCACGTTTCTGCAGAACATTGTGGCGGTGGGAGCGGGCTTCTGTGACGGTCTGGGTTTCGGTGACAACACCAAAGCGGCCGTGATCCGTCTGGGCCTGATGGAGATGATCGCCTTCGCCAAGGTCTTCTGCTCCGACGGACCCGTCTCGGCCAGCACCTTCTTGGAAAGCTGTGGTGTTGCAGACCTCATCACCACCTGCTACGGCGGCCGCAACCGCAAGATCGGAGAAGAGTTTGCCAAAACCGGAAAAGTACGGATAGTAGTTTGTTTCCCCTTGCATTTAGATCTCTCGTTGGTCCAATTGTGAATAATCCTTGTGTTCAGACCATCGAGCAGTTGGAGAAGGAGCTGCTGAATGGTCAGAAGCTTCAAGGTCCGGCCACTGCAACTGAAGTCCACCAAATCTTGAAACAGAAAAACATGGTGGAGAAGTGAGTGCCTTTATCTTTCTGGCTTTTAAATTGAATCTTAGGCCAAGGATGCTATTCGGTGGTGTAGTGGTTCTGGAGTCGGATCTCTCAAATGCTCCATTCACCTATGACTGACAGATGATCAATCGATGGTGTCTTTCCTGCTAGTGCAGCTCTGATGCACTCCAACCTCGGCAGTGACTCTGAACATGATACGTGGAATCACAAGTGGTTTGGTGGATCTGTTTGTCCGTGTCAGAACTCTGATAAACAGGCCATACGTAAGACCAGGGTGTACCTAGCCTTTTGCACTGTCGTAGGTAGACTTCAGACCTTGCGGTGGAAAGATGGTGAGGATTCTTTCTGCATGCGCCAGCTTCCACCTATAGTACAGTACAACAAACATTCATTCGGTTCACTGAAAACTCAACGACTCCAGTGCTTTTTGAGGGCCTCGACAGGATTCATGGAATAAATAGTGAAGGGGCAGATCTGTCTCTTTGAGTTGTCCTGTGATTGACAGGCCAATTTTCCATAGTGTACCTAGCCTCTGACCTTATGTCAGCTGCAGCGCCCCAGATGGATGGCAAGGATTCTTTTTGCTTCTCCAGTGTCAGTCTTATAACTGACAGACCAAGGTGTACCCCGCCTCTGACCCTGTAGCACAGGGGTAGGGAACTCCAGTTCCTCGAGAGCCATATCCCGCCTGTTTAGATCCCTCCCTACTCCAACACACCTGATTCAAATCAGCAGCTCATCAGCAAGCTCTCTCGAGGCCTGAAACGATCACGAACAATTCCATCAGGTGTGTTTGGAGTAGGGAGGGATCCAAAACAGGCGGGATATGGCTCTCGAGGAACCGGAGTTCCCTCCCCCTGCTATAGCAACCGGGATTAACTTCATCCCCTGTGGTGGATGGACGGCAAGGTTTCTGTCACCGTCCTCGAGCCTCCACCCTAACAAACTCCACCCCGTGCGGTATTCTTGCCTCGTTGCTCTGTTTTTACTGTTGGGCCTATTTGCTGTCAAAGACATGGTCTTTCTTCTGAAGAGTACACATGGGACACTAATATCAGATTCTAATTTGGTGGAAATAGCATAATCAACAAGCACAATCACAGGTGTTGTCGTTGTGGTGGGTTCAGCGGGCAACCCGTGGATACTTTGGGTTTTGACTTGGTGTCGTGAAGGCTTGTCACTGGCATAGTGCCATAGACACATGTAGGTATAGGAAAGGCTTTTGATATATTACCTTGTTATATTATCACTACCTCAACCCTGTGAGTACATTTGAATCTGAAACTGCTTTTTGGTCTTTAAAAAAAACTGTGATTAGGAAGGAATGTGTTACAACTAACTAAAGTAAGTACAGAAACTAAGTGCAAAGTGGCTAAATATATGAGCAAATGTGAGTGGGCAAAACGTTGGACTTTCATCACTCAAGTAAGGACTGACTTGTTTGAAATTTAGCGGGGAGTCCACGTGACTTGCTTGATTTTTGCCACCGTAACTTGGGACTTGCTTGACAACTTCAAAGTGAAGACTTGAGACTTCTATTTGACTGGCACATATATTTCACAAAACGTCCAAGATATTGGGCTTTCGGGTGAAGTTTCAACGATGAACCTAAAAGGCAACCTTTCCTGGTTAGCTCAGTTTGACCTTCTATCAACCTTTGAATGCACAAGTCCGATTGTTGAGTGTTTCAGTACTTTCTTAATAGTTCTTGTTTATTCCTTGACAGTTGCACCGTTTTTCAGTTTTTGTATTTGTGCAGTGCTCAATTACTGAGTTTGCGGCGAAAAATCAGCAACTCTAATGTTTCACGATGGTCCACTTGAGACACGGTTAGGTGCGTGTCTCTGTGTGTCCGTGGCGGGTCTGAGGTTCGTCTAACAAGTTCAGACAAAAGTCCAATGTGCCCAACTCTTTGTGAGTAGTTGATCATGTGACTTACTCCCTCTTCTGCCGTTTATACAAAAAAAGAGCGCAGACAAAGCTGTGTTTTACAGAACGTATAAAATGGGATGGTTATGGGACCAAGGGTGCTTCATTCTCATGGCTGTCACTGTTCACTTTGCGCAGGTTCCCTCTTTTCACTGCCGTCCACCACATCTGCTTTGACGGCCATCCGGTTGCAGAGTTCATCAGCTGTTTGCAGAACCACCCCGAGCACATGTGAAGGACGATCCGTCCTGCTGTCGGCTGGCCGGACGGTCCATTTAAGACTTTGATTGTGGAGGTGCCATCGTGCAGTATTTTGGGCAGAGTGCTAATGGCGAGCTAGGTGACCGTTTTGGAGTCTCTTGCCAAGCTCCCCTTCTTTCTGAGCGTCTATGTGCAACTGCTCTTATCACATTACGTAACTCTGTGGCCTTTCACTGAGTAGAAAAGGCGGCACGTCGTTGCATAAATCGTCGAAAGAATGATCACCAGCGCACAAAAGCAAAGCACAGTTGCACAAAACGGAAGGATAATACAAGGTGTTTCTGTACTTTTCTTTGGGATAACAAAGAGTGCCTTAGTCTGTTCTTTGTCCTTGATTTCATTAGTTATTGGGGAATAAACCACGTGAACTCTGGAGTCCCTTTTAATGTCCTTTAATTTGTGTCTTATCACTGAGTCTCCACTCGCTTGCAACCTTGATGTAACCGGAACTGGGATCACAGTCGAGGCTTTGCCACTCTATAAGTGGTTCACACTTACCATTTTATAGACAAGCTGCATGGTGATGGTAGTGTTTAGTGCATCTACCTCACATCTCTGAAGTTAAGGGCTTGAATCCTTTGTACAGTTTGGATGTTTTACACGCGTTTGCGTGACTTACACTTACGTTCCAAAAACGTGCACGTTAGGTTCATTGAAGACTTTAAATCACCAACGTGGTGCCCGCGATACCCCAAGGACCACGTGAGTAGCCCATGAGCCTGTTCTAAATATAGCTCACCAGTGATGGGAGATTATTTTCGGGGAATGTTGTTGAAGTATCTTTTGAAAGTGTAATCCCTGGCAAAGAGTCATAAAAATAATGTGTTGCATCTGCTATTTATCTGTTTCTGAATTATTGAGAAATCATTCAGATGATGGGTGTGTTCATGTAAATGAATATCTTTTTCATCACAAATAAATTTTATTTGCGCAAATTTGTGATTTCAGAAGTTAGTATGAAACAGATAGCCATTCACATTAATCAGTACCCAAGGACCATGTGCCTTGCTATTGGATGGCGACCAGTCACGGGTGTACCCCACCTATCGCCCAAAGTCAGCTATAACATGCATATTAGATTCTTTTTAGACTCTAACTTGTCCATTGATGTGAATGTAAGTGTGAATAGTTGTTTGTCTGCATGTTCTTGTAATTTGTCGATTACCAGTCCAGGGTGTAACTCTACTAACTCTACTCTCATCCAAATCCAGCTTGGTTGTACCTCAGACATTTTACGCTTGGTTGTTTCGAGGATTCTCAGTTGTTCATTGGTGTAAAAGTGAATGTGAAGACTTTGTCTTTGAGCTTTGCAAATGGCTGGTGACCAGTCTAGGGTGTATACCAATTTTCTTGTCTAAAGTGAGCTGGCATGTTCACACTTGCATTTTACAACCAGTGAAGGGTCTAAATTGGCCATGAACGTGTAAGTAAGTGTGAATGGCTGTTTGTCAGTTTCCTGCAATTGACTGGCGACCAGTCCGGGTTGTACCTGGCTTCTCTCACCAAAGATCAGTTGTGATAGATTCCACACATGCATATTGGGTATATTGAACACAACAACTGTCCATAGGTGTGAATATGAGTGTGGATGGCTGTTTGTCTATATGAGTCCCGTGATTGGCAAGCAACCAGCCCAGGGTATACCCCACTTCTCTTACTAAACATTCATTAGATTAGACTCCACACATGCATGTTAGCCTCATTAATGACTCTCAATTGTCCATAGGTGTGAAATTGAGCACAACTACTTTTCGTCTATGTACTCTGTCATTGATTGGTGATCAGTCCCGAGTGTTGCCTACACACCCGTGACATCAATGAGGACGAGCACAGAGCAAACGTCTGAATTTGAAGCATATGTGTGACTTTTAAAGGCTCCCCCGGAGGGAACGTGGTGACCTGGTAGTCTTCCTGAGAATTCCCAAGTCTGAAGGAGTGTTACATAACCTTGCACTTTAGTTTAGAAGTGTATTCGCTCACTTAAGAATCCTTTGCATAGCTTTTGAGTCAACTGCCCAGCAAGATTTCTAATTATAACTCCTGCATGCAGAGCGCTAAATGTCCATCTAAAATTACACGGCGCTCCAACTGCACCATCTTTCAGCCTATTACAGATTGTGTCGGGATAGTAATCCATCGTGAGGCTCGTGAACCCTCATTTTCATGTTTAAATTTAAGGTCAACATTGAGGGAATGCTTTTGGAACGTTGCATGTGTAAAATGCATGAGCAAGCTTTGACTTGTGTTTCGTTTTTTTCGATTTATTTTCAGCTGCAAGACAATTTGTGGCCACTTGGCTGTGATGTCGTGCCACAATCAGGAGAGCATCCTTCTCGACATCTAAAACCACGTTTGCAGTGAAAGCCTTTGTTCGACATAATTTGATGGGCGTCTTAATGTACAACAATGAGTCTTGACATTGTGTGGTGAGATAAGTAACAATAATAAATCCCAGGAGTAGGTTTTGAGGGAGTCGGAGTCAAATTGCTTCCTCAATTCCGTTTCTCATCTTTCGTGTAGCGACCTGTCAAGTTCACCCAGCACACCAAAAACGGGGCCTCATATATCGTCATAATAAATCATAACGTTTTAGCAGCGTCTCATTTGATGTCGGGATTATCTCTATTTGCGTCAGACTCACGATGTGATTCGAACCTTGGAGTAGTTTTAAGAGCAAATGTTGGGGTGTCTACAGTGACAGGGGAACAATTATTTGGCGAAATGCAGAATCTTAAATTCCACATCAACATAATGGACATTCGAGTTTTATTTTGGAAGAATTATCCGGAAAAAGGCCTGCCTCCGTCTGGGAGGGGAACTTGTCATCTTCAGACATTGTCGGAGGTGGCGCTGAGGAAGAACAAGGCACCTAAAACACGTTTCAAATATTATTTTCTCCCTTCAACAAGTTTACATTTCTCCTTTTCACCTTGGTGTACAAAGGCAGTGAAGGACAATGGCTGCCCTTTCAGCCTGGTTCTGGAACGAGAGGTTCTGGCTGCCGTACAACGTAACCTGGGCGGACCTCGCCGACCGGGCTCCCGGGGTGGTGTATCCCAAAGCTGGAGACTTAGTGACCGCCATCCCGCTGGCTGTGGGGATGTTCGCCGTCAGGATACTCTTCGAGAGGTTCGTACCGGACGGTAAATGACCCCTCAAATGGCGGTCTCGTCAGTTGGATAGGCGCTAGCGGTCTTACGGTGCTGTTGTCAGTTAGTCAAACCCCTAACTGCCACAAAACTACTATTGCTGTAATTCTTCACATGCAGTTTCTTTGCCCACGTTTTGACCGAGACAAATGTTTCTCAAATAACTATTTCATGACGTTGGACTCAATTTTAGCTACAAAACGACAAATGACTTCTAAATTTATCATCTCTTTTATGACATTAGTTTAGGACCACGCCCCCTTTAATGTGACTACTGTAACACCAAATATGAGGCGAAAACATCATCGACAGGTGTTTCGCGTTTTTTTGGGGTTGCGTGGGTGAATGTGTGAAAGAGAGGGAGATAGAAAAGTGAGATGATCACAATAGAAATGAAAGAGAGGGAGATAGAAAAGTGAGATGATCACAATAGAAATGGAAGGTGTGTGTGTTTGGGTAAAAGTGTTATAATAGAAAAGTGAGATGATCACAATAGAAATGGAAGGTGTGTGTGTTTCGGTAAAAGTGTTATAATGTGATAATGTGGTGTCCGAAATTAAACCTTTTGAAGTGTCCCGAAGTGGTGGACACTTAAAAGTGCTATGCTGTGCTGAACCCATCTGTTCATAATGTATACAATGTTTCAATTATTATTTAGCATCTTTATACTGCACAAATGCATTCATGACTAGGCCTGTATACCTTCACTATAATAAAGGCATTATAATTAATAATGCTTCAAAGAATAATTAAAAATTTTATTTAGCACCTGTATTCCAAGAGCCATGTTGTACTGAACACATCTGTTCATAATGTATATGATAAGTTTCATTGATTATTTAGCATCTTATTAATGGACAAATGCATTCATGACAAGGACTACCTTCAATATAATAAAGGCATTGCAATTAATAGTGCTTCAAAGAATAATTAAAATATTTATTTTGCAATTATATTCTAACAATGCACTCACAGGGCCGAATAATTTTATACTTTTCTGCTTCTTATTTTAAAATAAGTTTAAAATATGAATTTTGTCCCACTTCATGGTTATCTCCCACTTGGTGTTGATTCTTCATTTAAAAACAAATCAAATCTTATATCGATGTATGAAGCTTGAAATGTGGTAAAATGTAAAAAAAAAAAAAAAATGTTCAAGGGGCAGAATACTCTTGCAAGCCACTGAATGCATATGGTATGGACAGAAATGTGTCACGGAAATTTGTAGAAAGTCTGTTGTGATTGTGAGAAAAGATGATGTAGTTCATTGAAAAAAAACATCCAAAAAAACGGAAAAGGCTCGTAACATTTTTCTGTTAAAAGAAGTGTGTCTACTCTTTATTTTGCTATGTTGAGCCACAGAATGCAATATTCTGCTGGTGTTGAAAGATTAGTCAAACGATGATGATAAAAAGTATTTTTTTGTTTCCTGGAGGCACTTCTTTATGTGTTTGAAATGGCGATGCCAATATGTGATGAAATGGCATCCAACCAACAACATCGCCACCACAACGTTTGGCAGGCTTTCAGTTTTTAGACATGCCCTGGGGGCATGTTTTTTTTTTTTTTTTTTTAACTAAACCGGAAATGAAGTTTCTGGACTTTCCCTGATTCATTCATGTGACTTGTAGAATTGATGTGAACTGAATTATTATTATTATTTTTCTGGTCTGGCCTGGCCTGACCTTCTCATTTCACAATGAAGATAAGGCCTTAATATGATTTAGTATAGAGCACAGATTAGAAGGGAAATAGAGGAAGCGCTCTATTCAGGCAGATTGTGTTATGGGACGGCGTGTAGGCGGAACAACCTTTTGCGGCAGAGGCAGCATTTGATGTTTATGCTGTACTGGAGTCACTTGGTTGGGGTTGAATTGTCCTTGTTTTAGTTGGCTGAACTAATGTTTAATCTTGGACTGTTTTTAATGTCTTGCATACACAAATTTCACATTTATCAATTTTCTTGAGCAAGGGTGGGAAAACACATTTTATTTTTAAAATGGACACATGGGCCATTTGTAGATAAGGGGGGAAAAAAAAGTTAAAATATGTAAAATTTGTAAACTTGTTTTTCACGATAATACAGTAATGCTCATTTTGTTGTTGTTGGAGATGCACCCATCACAATTTTCTGTCCGATCACTAATCCCTCCGATCTTTAAAAACCCTGACTTGCCGATCCTGATTTTTTTTCACAACCAACAGCTTCCATGTTACAATCATGTT